CCCCTAACCCCAGTCAGAATGGCAATTATCAACAACTCAAAAAAAACAGCTGCTAGAGAGGGTGTGGTGAAAAGGGAACACTTCTACACTGTTGGTGGGAGTGTAAACTAGTGCAACCTCTGTGGAAAGATTCCTAAAAGCTCTAAACATCAACCTCTCATGTGACCCTGCAATCCCCCTACTGGGAATATACCCTGAAGAACTCAAATCACTCTATAAAAAAGATACCTGCACACGAATGTTTATTGCAGCATTGTTCACAATAGCAAGAACCTGGAACCAACCACGCTGTCCATCAAAAGAGGACTGGATTAAAAAAATGTGGTACATATACATGATGGAGTACTATGCAGCCATAAAAAAGAACAAAATCATGAATTTTGCAGCAACCTGGATGGAGCTAGAGTCTATAATACTAAGTGACCTCTCACAGAAACAAAGATCTGAGTATCACATATTCTCACTCATATAGTGGACCTTGATCATCCAATGCACTACTATAAGAAAATGATTGACAGTGTTGGGAAACTATGGGAGGGGGATGGGACTAATGGTAGTAAACATCTGTCTGGAGACGGGGAGACACCTGTTATCAACAAGGGGGCCTGAATGAAGCATATTTGTATACCTAACCCTTAACTATACCCCACAATATCAAAATAAAAAATATTGATATAAAAAAAAATTCTTTGCCCGTTTTTCAGTTGGATTATTTGTCTTTCTTCTTAAGTTGTGTCATTACCGCTGACAGAGGGAAAGCTGAGGCTAAGAAGGGGTACATGGCTGGGCCAAGAACACTGGACTCACAGTAGATTGAGACTGGAACTTGGGTTGGTTTCCACCTTCCACCTGGCAGGTTGAGGGCTGCCTTCTCCACCTAACCCCAGTCAGAATGGCAATTTGTGGCCCACTGTCTTCATTGACCTGCTGCTCAGACCATCTTGGGTTCTGCCCTTGCATTTAAAGGGGCAGGGCCCCGCAGCCAGAGGGTGGGCCGGAAAGGCCAGGAAGCAGCAGTTCTGAGGAACCAGGCTGGTCCTCTCTTCCTCTCCAAATCACGCGGACCTGGCTGACGTGGCCTGGGAAGAGGGGACAGCCCGGGCCCTGTGGTCGGAGAGCCTATTTATACTGACTGGGCCGTGTTGCAAGCTTTTCCTGCTGGCGAGAGGGACGTCACTGGTTGCTGACCTCACCAGAAACGCTGACGCATCTTCCCTCACGCTTCACAGGGATGGTCAGTGGCCAGGCCTCCTTGTCTCCGGGCCACTCCCTGTCCTCCTGCACATCACCTGGCTACTGACCCTCTGGTGTCCCCAGTCCCTGCACTCTCCAGCCATACCCTCCTCTTGCAGGCTGTATTGTGTTCCTCCCAAACTCATCGTACCTCAGAATATGACTGCATTTGGAGACTGGACCTTTAAAGAAGTAATTAAAGTAAAATGGACTGGGCGCAATGGCTCAGCCTGTAATCCCAGCACTTTGGGGACTGGGATGGGTTGATTGGCCCAGGAGTTCAAGACCATCCTGGGAAACATAATGAGACCTTGTCTCTACAAAAAAAAAAAAATCAAAAAATTAGCTAGGTGTGGTGGCATGCACCTGTAGTCTTGGCTACATGGAAGGCTGAGGTAGAAGGATTGCCTGAGCCCAGGAGGTTGAGGCTGCAGTGAGTTGTGGTCCTGCCACCGCACTTCAGCCTGGGTGGCAGAGTGAGACCCTGACTCAAAAAAAAATAAAAGGTAAACTGAAGTCATTGTGGGGGAGGCCCTAACCCAATCTGACAAGTGTCCTCATAAGAATAGGAGATTAAGACACAGACCAGAAGGAAGACCATGTGAAGACATGGGAAGAGATGACCATCAAGCCAAGGAGAGAGGCCTCAGAGGGAACCAACCCTTGATCTCAGGCTTTCAGAGAAGTGAGAAAATACATTTGCTGTTTAAGCCACCCAGCCTGTGGTATTTCGTGTGGCAGCCCCAGCAACTAATATGCAAGCTCTCTTTGCCTTTGGGAACCCTGGTCCCTGGAGCCTGTTTTGTGGCACCCTGATCAGCCATGAGCTAAAAGCATGGTCTTTTGGCCATGTTCAACTGCTCCTTCCTCTTTTTAATTTTTATTTTTTGGGTTGGAGTCTCACTCTGTCACCTAGGCTGGAGTGCCGTGGCGTGATCCTGGCTCACTGCAGCCTTGAACTCCTGAACTCAGGCAATCCTTCCACCTCAGCAACGCCCTCCCCCACCCCTAGTAGCTGAGACTACAGGTATGACTGGCTAATTTTTTTTATTTTTGTAGAGACAAGGTCTGGCTAGGTTGCCCGGGCTGGTTTTGAACTCCTGGGCCCAAGCAACCCTCCCACCTTGGCCTTCCAAAGTGCTGGATTATAGGCCTAAACCATCACACCCAGCCACCCCTCTCCTCTTAACTGTCCAAAGACGACCACAGGCAAAGCCACCAGCCCTCTCGGCCATGAGAAGACAGTACAGCCTCCTTGGACCACAAGGAGGTGGGTAGAATAAGGTAAAGGTGCATGGCTGACTGTCCCCACACCAGTGTGGCAGTCAGCCAGCCCTGACTGAGAAAACCAAGGAGCTCTCGAGTCATATCTGGCTCTCCTGCTTTGAGCCAGTTCCTGAACTTCTGGGAGCTTTGGGCTCCTCCATGCTTCCCTCCCTCTCCGGGCTGTTGCACGATGAGATCAGGGATATGAAATGGAGAAGGCTCCCCGCTGTCTGAGCCCTCTGGGGGTGGGCACAGAGATAGGGATTTAGCGGAAGCGACATTCTCAGGATGAAGAACCCAGAACTGGCCGGTGGGGGTGGTGGTGTGAGATGTTGGGCCTGGTGTTGTGAGCACCACCCCGAGTGCCTGAAAGTGGGGGTGGTGGTGAAGAGCAGCCTCCTGGGTGTGGGGACGTCTGGTTGTGCTCCATCTGGATCCTCAGTACCGGGGATGGGCTGGCATGCAGTGACGCCAGATACAAGTTTGTTGAATGAATAAATGAGTGATGGTGGAGCGTGGTGGAAACGGCCTTGGTGGGCATGGTGGGCATCCAGGGTGGGCATAGATAGGGGCGCATCCAGTGCCCTTCCTCTGGCTACCTCAGCTCTCCTTGTCAGGGCTCCACAGACCCAATGCTCTCTCCAGATGGATCAGCTCAGGTCTCAGGTCTCCCTCCAACCTTCTGTGGGCCTTCTCCCAGCCAGGATCCTTGGGGGGCAGGTCAAGGACCCTCTTCCGGGCCTGGTAGATGCACTGGAGCCGCCAGGCATGGCCCGCAGGCCTGAGCCAGCCTCTTGCCTCCTTGTCTGCTCTCACCTGGGTCTCAGTTTACCTATAACAATCTACCTACAGTAAAGTAGCAGGTTGATGAGGGAGGTGCTATCTCCAGGGCCTCTTTGCAGAGGAGCAACCCATGATCGCTATCTTTCAGAGAAAGCGAAACCTGGTCCCCAACTGTCTTGGTGGCAACTCCCCCTCCCCAGCTTCCCCTCTGAGCTCACAGCTTCCCCATCTCCACCTCCAACTACACACCCCAACAGCGAGTACTTGGAATTAGACTTTCAGTTTTTCTTTCTCCTCCAAGGGCCTTTTGCCTTTTATGTCCATGATGGCAGCAGTGCTATGAGGTGAGCTGGGCAAGGTTTTTCTCCTACTCATTTTACCGGGGGACGGGGAAGAGGGAACACACGCACACACGCACCCATGCACGCACCCACGCACACGCGCGCATGCAAACGACTGCTGAGACCCAGAGAGTTTGAGTAACTTGCCTGGAGCTCCAGAGCACATCAGTGTGCTTGAAACCTGATCTCCTGTTTCTCTTGCTCCAAGTGTCCACCTTCCCCAAAGGACCCTATCTGCAGAGAAAGGGCCTGGCTGTGGGCAGTGGGCCTGGCAGGGGGTGCATAATGGGTGAAGGGGACAGCTGGGAGCCGGGCTGGGGGATGCTGGTCCTGGGGCCAGAACCACAATCTCGGGGCTGCCAGCCTGGGTCTGGCTCTGTGCCCAGAGCCCAGTGGTTTCCGCTCACAGATGTCCCAACAGCCCCGGCAAGAGGGCGGGAAGGCCACTCAAGAAGGAAGATGTCTCGCGCTGCCCTCAGCCCAAGCCACAGTGTCCTGCGAGGCCAATGGCACCCGAGCCGAGACGGGCCTGGGGCCTCCAGAGGCTGGGCTCGCAGTCCCTCTCACCGGTCCCGGGCCCACCCCTCGAAGATGGCATGGACCCCCTTCTTCCGCTCACTCAGGAAGGCTGAACCTGCAGTTTGCATCATCCTTGGGCGTGGGGCTGACCTCGAAGAACGAATTCGAAGAAAACAGGAGGAGGAGCGGGCACCACCGCGCCCAGCGCCCATTGGTTGCCCGTGGAAATTTTGGTTTTTGGGGTCATGTTCCCAGAAGGCCTGCCCTCCCCCTTCCCCCTCCCCACCCACCTCACGAGGTGTTGGCCAATCGCCCCGGCGGGCATAAAGTGGCTGCCAGCCCGCAGGGATCCCAGCCGGGAGGTGTCACCCCCAGCAGGCACGGGCCAGAGGACAGGCACCCAGCATGCGGGCACAGCTCACAAGGAGGACGCTGCTTGGTAAGTACTTCCTTCCTACCCACCAGCACCTGCTTGTCGCGTCCAGGGTGTCAGCGGGGAGCAGGGACACCCTCTGGGCACCATGCAGAAGGATGCTGAGATGAGGAGAAAGTCCGGAGGTCAGGCCGAGAAGGGGTTCACTGGGGACCCAGCATCTCCACAAGTGGAGAATGGGTAACCCCAGAAGGCTTCCAGGGGGAAGTAATGTAGAGGCAACTCTAGGAACCAGGGGGAGAGGATGGAGTAGGAAGCTGCCAGGGAGGCAACAAGGCAGTGGGAGATGTTCTAGACAGGGGAGGGAACTGCAGAAGCTGGGTGGTGGCAGGGCTGCGGGGCCTCCAGCTTGCCCCGATTCACAGGGTCTGGGATGGACAGAAAGTCAGTGGGGCCAGGGGCCCTGGAGCCCACACAATCACGTAGCCACATAGCCACACCCACATGCGCCACGCATACAGAGCCACAGAACGTCACCCAGAGCTCTCAGTCTCACCCACCTGGGAGCCCCCACATGCAGACCAGAGGCCCCCCCCCTGCAGTGAGGGCAGCGGGTGCTCCCTCACACCTCACACTTGGACGCACAGCCACACAGACACCCCAGGCCCACGTGCACACCCCGTACCCGCCAGCTCCCACCAGAGCTCAGCGGCGGACACCTGGGAGGTGGGGACTCTGCCCTGGGGTCACCATGCCTGGGTGCCCGGTCCTCGAGCCCTCCCCAGCAGCTGGTCTTCCCCAAGGGGCCGGAGAGTTCTCAGGAGGGGAAGGATGGTGTCACTGCCTTCCGGACCATTGCGCCACAGGCCCCTTCCGACCACGTGGCTGCTGGTTCG